GAAACTATATCTGACATATGATTTTGTTCCTCATATTTTCATGGTGGTGGTTTAATCACTTACTTTGTTTGCTTGTAATGCGACCGGCTGGCAGATTCTTCTGTTTGGTCTTAAAGCAGTCAGGCAATTCTTGTGCCATTTAACAACAACAACAACAACAACAACAACAACAACAACAATAATAATAATAATAATAATAACATTATTGTTTTTGTTGTTGTTGGAAGTCTGTCATGTTTCCTTTAGTAGATTGTTTTTCTTTTATTATAAATTGATTATGTCAACTACAATGGTGCTGACAATAATAATAAAAATTATTATAATAATAGTTATTATTATTAATATTAATGTTGTTTATTTATTATTAATGGTATAAAATATGACGTTACTACTGAATAAATGAATAAATGTTTTTAGATTATTTTCTCTGCGATAAATGTTGTTAGAAGGTGCACAAGTGTGTTAGACTATCAATTAATCCATTTTAATTAAACCATGTATTATGTTGCAGTTTCTATTAAAAGAAAGTATCTGTGAAATAGTCACCAAATTTTACCTGCATTTGGTGCCTAGTGAATGCAATGTTTGGACGCTGAACTTTCATTTATGTAGTGGACTGCATTGAAGCCTGAAAGCCAATTTCAAAGCTCTTGGACGTATCTGTAATTGCACTCGCTCTGTTTTCCATACACTTTACCAATTATAGGTCTACACCTCATCCTATTTAAGACCTAGCTGTCTCCAGCCACCAAAGAAATTACAAGAACAGATGTTCAATCCAGCAGCTCCGCACAGCTCTCATTTGAACCCTATAGAAACTACATTTTTATTGATTATTTCATTTCCACTTAGGTTCATAAGTGTATGTGCGACAGTTTCCTACCGAGCCGGAGCTGGTTTGGCTGCACATAGCTGCCATATGCTTCCTGCTGCAGAGCTCAGGGCCACAGCAGGGTCTGTGTCCTAATTGATCTGTAATTGACTCAGCAGCAGGGAAGGTCAGTTTGTCACTGAGCACTGCATACAATTAGCTGTCGAGCCCTGTTACCTGATCTGTCCAGTTATGACTCATGCCAAAGGCTCTGAGATACTCTTTTTACAGGGTAAAACATGAAATTGATGCGCATAATTACAAACGGACACACAGAAGCACCATATCAAGTGAACTAGAGAATTTTTTTATACTATTATTTATTTTTATAAATATTAAAATATAATATTTATTGAGCAGCAAATCAGCATATTAGAATGATTTCTGGAGGATCGTGTGACACTAAAAGACTAGAGTAATGACTGCTAAAAATTCAGTTTTGCCTTCACAAGAAGAAATTATATTTAAAAAAATATATAAAACAATTATTTTAAATTGTAAAAATGTATCACATTTTTTCTGTTTTTACTCTATTTTTCATACATCAAAACCTTCCATAATGACCCCAAACATTTGAACAGTAAAGTAATTATCAAAGTTTCGAACTGATCTGGACGTATAATTGCATAAACACTGCACATTTAAAAATATAATAGCAACAGAATATCTCATGAGTGTTTCCAGACTAAAAACTAGCATCATGAACCATGTGCTACAAAATCTTTCTTTTAACAGTGCAATTCAATACAAAGTCAATATGTTTGCATTGTGTGAAAGAGCATTGTTAAATGCCAAACGATCGTCACTTGAAAGTACAGGCCCGTGGATCTTCTTGAAGTTGTTCTCCCTTCATTAATGCAACCTATGCATTTGTACATTAATTATTCTGATAGAGAAAATAAGATCTCCGATTTATAAAGTGGAAACATCTGTGAGAGCAGCCGCTGCAATAACGCAAGATTAGCTCTGTTGTCCTCTAGGTTAATTACTACAATACTGCTGAAGCAAAGGTTAAACAAAGGTGAGTCGTGTTGGCATTTAACTTGGATACCTGAGTTCCTCCTCACCTGAAGCGTGAAAATTTGAGTCAACTCTAAAATCTCAAGCGTGGGAGATGTTATGAAGGAAGGGTGAATTTTAACACAGAGTTAAATGTTTTAAATGAGAAACCATTCCAAGGCTGGCATTATGAAAATGTCATTGCACTTCTAATGGGTGAAAAGTGATTTCAAGGGGGTGAGACGTCCTGCAAACCCACCTGAAAATTGCTGTGGAAATGAGTGTGCTTGTTGTTGCTATGATTAAAGCTTGAAAAAGCCTTCTAAATGCATGCATATATATTAAACAGCTTACCTTGAAACAGACCGCCTAGAATAGACCTATTAGGAAGGGGGTGTTTGTGTGTTTCCTGGGGGCCTAATGATACCTTTATGCTGGAGATTAAGATAAATGTGTTCATTATTATATTCTTTACAACCTCTCGACCCTCAAAAACAGAGCTGAAGATTTCTAGGTTTAATAAAAAAGGATGCACCCGTTTAATCAGCCAAACGAACTATTTAATTAAATTTTCAGTGAATTCCTCAGCTCCGCAATTCCTCAAATCAATCCGGCCTTCTTGAAAAACGAGTGTTTTAATCAGGCAGTCATTTGTAGATCCCTATTTCTACTTTGTGTGTGTGTGCGGATGCATTGGAGTCTGCACATGTGTGAGAGCCCATGAGTGAATGGAGTCCTGTCGAAACTGATTAGCTTTGTAATTACTCTCCGGTCTCCGGTCAGTGCTACTAACAGACATGTTTAATGCTATGCGTCAATCTACAGTCTTACGATGAAACGAGCAAGGAATTCTAAGATAACAGCACTTGGAGAAATGGAGCGGAGAACTGTGTGTCTTTAAGCTCACTTCAGTTGTGACAGGCTTTTCAAACTATATGACAAAGCCAAAGCAGCCAACGAAACATTTGATGCAGATCCAGTCAGTGTTATGTAGTACTGCTGAATGGAACGTGATTTACATTTTTGGATGGAAATTGGAGTGTTATGGGGATTATGGCAAAGGAAAGAGACAGATGTGGAGAAAAATTAAGAATTATCTCTCAGAAACATCAGGGGAAATAGAATGGGAAGTTATGGAGCTGAGTAGCTAATGGCCACGAGGCTAGTAAAGAGTCTCGGAAGCAGAAATGAGAGCTTGCAGACCATTACAGCAAGTGAACATTCAGTAAAATCACAATCAAGTGGTGTTTTGTGCAATGTGCAGTTGGTGTTTAATTTTAAGAGATTAAATAATCCTTTATCATTAATTAATTCTCACCTCAAAACTATCGTGATTGGACGTCACATCATTATTATATGTATATTGTACATACAGCAAGGCTTATTTAATCAAAAGGTAAAAAGTAATATTGTAAAATATTATTACATTTTAAAATAATGGTTTTCTATTTGTGTCAGGGTTTGTTTTGGGTTGTGTTGGTGTTCATGTCTTTTGCTTTGTATTCATGATCTTAGTTTACCTCTCCTGTCCACGAGTCTGCTCCTGAGGCCTCTTCTGTCCACGAGTCTGCCTCAGAGGCCTCTGCTGTCTATGAATCTGCCTCTCCTATCCATGAATCTGCTCCTGAGGCCTTTCCTATCCATGAGTCGGCTTCAAAGGCCTCTCCTGTCCATGGATTCAATCCAGTGCCTCCAGAAGTGGTAGCTTCCACTGCAGAACCTCCAGAGGTGGCGGCATCCGCTGCAGAACCTCCTGAGGTGGTGGCTAGAGTCTGCTCTCTCTCTGTCACTATACAGTATTTTGTCTCTACCTCTCCTGCTTTTTATCACCTTTTGTCTGTTCTCTATTTCCCTCCTCTTCTCTCTCCTAAGTAACAGATTTGACATGGCTGGAACGTGGCAGACATAATTTAGCTGAGTGGAATCAGCCACGGCTCTTTGTGTAGAAAGTGTCCCGTTCATCTCTTTAAATGTTCTCCTCAAACAGAGCGCACACTTCATCCAGTCAGCTCTAACAAACGTCAATGAATTCCCTTCAAGAGACTCAGATCCTATATTTCTCACTTCTTCCGATTGATTGTGCTAAAACTTCTATACAGAGATTTTAAACCATCATCTAGGTATCTAGGTAATGAAACACTTCTGAATCTGTGGCTGGAAGTTAATTAGTACTGCAGATATATAATAGAAGCTGAAGCACTTTGTTCTATTGTGTGGTAGACAAGGAAGGATTTTGTATAAAAGCATTTTTACATATTATTGCATATTACATGATCATTTTGGAGATTTCACCTTTTTGACTGAGAATTTCAACCTCCAGTGTTATTTTCGTGATCAGGGTAACCTCAAATTTGAATTAAAATCATAAAGACATTGAAAACCATAACAATATACCCAACATGGATGACGCTCAATTAGAGGACATTTGCAATAATGTGTTTAAAATTTCTACCAGAAGAAAATAACATCACATGATGCTGGTTGCAATTTCACAATTTAACATATATTGAAGTTAACATTTTTTATTCATTATTAAGTCATGAAATCAAAATAACAAGTTGTTTAACAAATGGACACTGCAATACCTAAGAGACATTAAGGCAATTTCAAGCAAAATATTTCTGTCAGTGTCTAATATGCTTTCTCTTGATGGATAAATGTGATATTTCTGATAACAATTGTTAGAAAAAAATATAATTATCATCAATGGACATTAAACATACCCTAAATTGTAGGATGAATTGTAGGATGTGTTCTATTACTTTTCCACATGATCAGCTGATTGATGGATAAAATCTCATATACTAAGATTGAAGGAGAGACTAGAAACCAAAATGTTACAGACTTTTGCCAATAAGAAACCACTTCACAACAACCCAGAACTGCGCAGCAAGTATTTTCCAGAAAATAAAAAAATATGAATATTGTTATATTTTTGTATCTGGTGTTTAATTTTCCATAAAACTGTACATAAGATGTCTTAACTTAGTTTCTAGAACAAAATTACTACCTATTGTGTTTTTCTTCTCTGCAGGATAGATACCAAGAAGCTGACAAAAGATGGCATTTCTGAAGGATGCGATTACCTTTTTCTTCTCCCTGTGGGCTTCCCTCCTTTATGTAGCATTAATGTCCCTTTCACTGGGGGCAGAAGCACCAAAAAGAAGCCAGTACATCTGGAAAACAGGTGAGTTGCCAATATTTCCAATATTAGCTTTTTCTTGGACGACAGAATGAAATTAATTTATGCGGTCCCTATCTGAATTATGAGTGTTTTTTTTACCATGATTACTCGTTTCTGTCATCATTCACTGTCATAATAATAATAATAATACATTTTATTTGAAATGCGCCTTTCTTAATACTCAAAGCGCTACAACATGTACAAACAAAATAACAAGTCAACCAAAACTACAAATATCCAAAATAAAATCATAGTAATAGTCATAAATTAAAAGCTTCAGTAAAAAGGTACGTCTTAAGAAGTTTCTTAAAACAATCCAAGGAAGCAGCATTCCTAATAAACACAGGTAATGCATTCCATAACTTAGGCGCGTTATAGGAAAAAGCCCTCCCCCCCATAGTTTTTAATTTACAACGAGGCTGATACAAGGAAAAACAACCAGCAGAGCGGAGAGAGCAAGAAGGTGTGGAAAGTATTACCAAGTCACAAATGTAATCTGGAGCCAGCCCATGCACTGCTTTATATGTTAAAATCAGAGTTTTAAAATCAATACGTGATTGAACCGGGAGCCAATGAAGTTGCTGGAGCACTGGGGTAATGTGATGGCGTGAGGACGTATAAGTCAAAACCCGCGCTGCTGAGTTTTGAATATATTGCAGTCTCTTAACAGAACTTGCTGGTAAACCCCCCAAAGAGAGAATTGCAATAATCGAGCTGTGATGTGATGAAGGCATGAATAAGCCTCTCTGCATCAGGCCTAGTAAAGGAAGAAGTGGAATCAGGCTGAGTGCTAATATAAATCTGGGTATCGTCCGTGTAACAATGATAGCCCAGGCCATACTTCTGAATAATCTGCCCCAGAGGCAGCATGTAAATACTAAATAGAACAGGTCCCAAAACTGACCCCTGAGGGACACCCTGACACAAAGGCGCAGTCTGAGATCTATTAGTACCCAGGTAAACAAACTGAGAACGTTCTGAAAGATAAGATTTAAACCATGTCATGTTGCTACAAACCTGTATGACTTTCTTCTGTAGAACACAAAAGGGGATTTTTTGAAGAATATGGCCACTGTTTTGCATATGAAAGCGATTCATTGAAAAGATATAACGATTCGTTCAGATACTTCTCTCATAGTGAGATAAGGCTTTCCATGAATATCTAAATTTTGGTCTTTTTGTCGAACCAAAGCTATCATATGGGTTCAGAAGACTTGGAATATTGTGAACAAGATGCTTTTATGCTGCTTTTTTGGTCATTTTTTTGGATCTTGACACCCCAGTCCTCGTTTGCTTTTGAAAATGGCCAAGATATCCTTCAAAAATTCATCTTTCTGTGCTCCACAGAAGAAAAAAAACCATAGAGGTTTGGAAACATCATGAGGGTGAGCAAATGATGTCATAATTAAATTTTTTTGTATTGTTTCTCTAATAGCGCACAGGGTAAATCTGCAAAACCAAACTGCAACAATTATTTCAAGGTTTCCAGAAATGCTAAACACACAGTTTGTGTTTGTATGATGCATCCACAGTCTGAGCCAGAGAATTCTGACACATTTTTGCCATTTCTCTGTGGTCAGATCCAATTGGAGAAGTCGCATATTAGGACTGCATAATCGAATGTGTGAATGATAGTGTTTAGTACAGTACAGTCAGTCAAGAAGCAAGGTGATACACATTTGTATTCTGCATTTAATAGAGGAGAACAGAAGTGGTAAATAAAAATTGGTCCAGGTTGGATATTGATCCTTGTTGTCGCAGATCTTGGATCAGCAGGCATGTATGTACAGCAGTTCAGAAAGTGTGTGAGACCATCTGCCTGTGTTATCTGTGAAGTCTGATCAATCTTATATCCAGCTGGAGTTGCACTGAGAATTCCTCATGTCGCCATGGCAACAATTGTTAAGTGTGAGATTGACAGCTCACAAAGAACAGAAGATTATTACTTGACCTATTAATGCCGTCCGGCGTATCCAAGCTACTTTAGCTTACATTTCAAGATGCTGCAATTAGGTACTTCTCCAGAACTTGTAACAAAACATCCAACATATGGCTATGAAGACCTCAGGAAGTTCATATCAACTTCCAGATTTGGGTGGTCTGCCCACCCTTGTTCATTTACATTTACATTTACATTTACATTTAGTTATTTTGCAGACGCTTTTATCCAAAGCGACTTACAATTGGGGAATACATAAAGCGATTCTTCTTAAAGAGGCAAACAGACACAGGAAGTGCTTGAAATACCAAGTTTTAGGCATTGTTCAAATAAGTACGAGCTAGAAAAGGGAATGAATAAATAAAGAGAAAGAATAATTTTTTTTTTTTTTTAAGATGAAGTCAAGTAGCGTTTAAAGAGATGAGTTTTCAGCTGTCGCTTGAAAATTGTCAGGGATTCAGCATTCCGGATAGGGGTGGGAAGATCATTCCACCAGCCAGGAACGGTGAACGAGAATGTTCTGGAAAGTGATTTTGAGCCTCTCTGTGATGGTTCCACGAGGCGTTGGGGGTCCAAGAACTGATCCCTGAGGAACCCCAGTGACCAGTTGATGAGCTTTGTTCAGTTTAAATTATTCCATGAGAAAAAGTATCCATCAACAGGGAGATTATTGGGACAAAGTATTCAGCTGGTCATGGGATCTGAACATGGAGGCTATCAAAACAGCTACTGATATGACTAGCGTGTTCATTTTATGTGGGTGTTATCATTTTAAACATTTGTTTACTATGCATTCCTTCATGTGTAAAAACTTCTTTAAAAAGTAGAAAAATACTATATTTAATAGTGCATTCTCACATATACAGTAATTCAAACGTATTTTGTGACACTGAAGACTGGCGTAATGATGCTGAAAATTCAGCTTTACCATAACAGGAATAAATTATATTTTACAATATATTAAAATAGAAAACAATTATTTTAAATTGTAAAAATATTTCAGAATAATACTGTTTTTACTGTATTTTTGATCAAATAAATGCAGCCTTGGTGAGCATAAGAGACTTCTATCAGAAACATTAAAAAATCTGGGGAAAGAATTTAAAAAAAAGAAACATTTAAAAAATCTTACCGACCCCAAACTTTTGAACAATAGAGTATGCTGACATTTCAGCAGGGTTTTCAAAAGATTCATAGCTACTTTAATTATTTAGATTTTTAATTTAGATTTAATTATCATAAATATCAGTTTTGTTTTAAAAGTTGATATTTGACTAATCGATTTAGGGGCACTAAAAGACAGTTTCTTTAAAAAAAAGTCAATGACCTTTGAAAGTTATTGTAAAATTCATACACTGAATGAATGGATAGATGGATGGTTGGAGAGACAGATCAACAGGTGTCCAGTGCTGATGAAGGCAACTGTAAAAAGGCTTTATAGACAAAGTAGGGATGTTAAGGATGTAGAAGTTTTGTGTGAAGCGGTGGTCAGTTCTCAGAGGCTCTGAGTGAGTTTCCTCACGTGCTGTGTGTGGATCGAAGAGCTGCTCTGCAGGGCCACAGCGGTGATGATTCCTGGAATATAAAATCGATACTTGTTTCATCCTGAAGGAGTGGGTCCACTTTCCTACTGTCTATGAAGAAACGCTCATTTGGCCACCTACATGCTTTATTTTGTACTCAAGGTCTAATTTTCTTCAGCTTTGTTTGTGCTTAATTTTGTTCAGTTTTCCTGTTCTGGAAATGAGAAAACTGTGTGCTGACAAGAGAGCAAAATCTTGAGTTTGTGTCTTAAAAGCACTTTGGTGGCTTGAAAACCTAATTTTGAACCACTTTCCCCGGAGTTCTTCTATCTGACGTCACAAGCTGGACAGAAAATGGTTCTGTCTCTCAAAACAAGGTGGAAATTAACCTTCAAGAGAGAGATGAAGACGGCTAGCATAAGGTGATCTCAAAACTAACAGACATGTACTAAAAGCCATAAAGGTGCTTTAATCCAGGAATTACTTTGCATTCTAGCTACACTCTTCATACATAAAATGCAACTCACAAGTGCTTCACAAATTCCTTTTTTTAATGAAATATACAGTATGGTATGAAAGAATGCAATTTATACATTAAAAGTCCCAATAACACATCACCATGATGTTGAAAAATACACAAAAATAGGCATGGAAAGCTTTATACCTTTGCACCAATCAAACACACATTTGGTACTTTTATTCTACATTTTTACATATATACATTTGCCTTTACAGTCACAGGAAATGTATATGTATCAGTAGGGTCCAGTGCTTTGGTCCCTATTGACTTCCATTTTATGGAAGTCTCCTTTTGTGTTTCACAGAAGAAAGTTATTTATACGAATTGGACTGACACAAGGGTGAGCAAATGATGACAGAATTTTCATTTTTGCGTGAAGGATCCCTTTAAACCACACTTTAAAATGAGCACAAATACACTTTTCAGGCAAAATGTTTTGCAAAAAAGAGGGTTATTAGGTTTTTAAGTGATAAATGAGTAGAACATGTTCATACAGTAGTTAAGGTGATGAACTACATCTGTGAGGACATGTGTAAATTCACATCATACATTCATATCATTTTGGGACTAGTGTTTTACATACAAGTAAACAAAAATAAGCCGCAGAACCATTGCCTTCCAGAGCAACATCCCAAGTCTTTCGCATTTAAGCCATCAAAATCCACCAGTCCTCACCCCAGACTCCAACCGAATCGTGACAGGCCAAAAACAGCTCCATTTCCTTTGCTAAAGCGTCTGTGATAGGCAGAAGAGCACTGTAATTGCATCTGTGACCATCAGCGAGTAATTAATCTGTCATGTGCCCTATTGTTTCACCCAGAATGCATCCAAAAAGTGTGTGAGTGTCAGACTAGAACATTTCTTCACGCTGTTGAGAGGGAGGATGCTGCCGTCTCCAGAGACCTCTGGGTCAGGAATTGTTTTGTTTTTTAAAATGTGTAAACAACACTAATGGCCCCGACACTTTCAGACATCATAAATACATAATTCGATTTATTTCGGCATAAACAATGGTTGCATT